GAGAAGGTTTTTTTACACTAATTAATAAAATTTAAATGCTCTATAAAAAATCAAATTTGTGATTTGCAATTATTTGTGTAATGTCAATACAGTAATATATAACAAGTTATATAACTATGCACTTATGAATTAATATGAAATATGAAGAATTAGTTGTATTTCTGTATCAGCTACATGTTAATAATAATATTTGTCTAATCATCTCACAAGCGTAAATTGTTGGCAGAATTTTTTCCATTTCGTGAGGGTACGACTATATTTTTTATTATAATGTCCAAAGTTTTGGTCTTTTCTAGATTTCTAACATTATAATTAACGATAAATGCCTTTTTAATAAATTGGCACAAATAAAATAGAGAGTTCTCTGCTTTTAATTCATCTATCTTCATAGCGTTTAACCATCGTTGAAACACAGTCTCTGTCTTTTTTTCATCAATAAACTTATCTACCTCTTCTTTTTTTGGTAAAGTAGGAGGATTTTCTCTAAAAAAAAAATATTAAATACAGAAATAAGAATCATAAAACAAACAATAAATAAATTTACTCTGTTGCTTTAAATAATTCGATCAAATCTTCTGTCTCATCAAGTAATTTATTCCGAAAGTCACCAAAATGCCTATTTCTGACTCTCAACCATTCTATACCATCAGCTGAATTGATATCGCATTTGATAATTTGTCTGACCAATTCTTTGATTGCATTTTTATGGGGATTTCGAACTCGAAGAAAAAGACATTTTAGTTCTTCTAGAAAATCACGACCAGCTTTCATCTATAATAAATATTTGTTAATAATCTTTAATTCCTCAAACCAAATTATAAAAAATATCTTTTTTGATTTTACTTTATCATCCCGAATTGCTGGTTGCGATGTATTCGGTAATAATTGAGAAGAGAAGAGTGATCCATCTACAACTGATGATTGCATAGATATATTCATACTATTTGCGAGTTGTAAAATATTTTGATTTTTGTATAGCCACAGACATAGTTGATAAATTGTCATTTCTTTAAATGCTGATGAAATATTAGAAGTGTTCAGCATGTTATTAACAGGACCGAATGAATTATCTGAATTAAGTGTTTGTAATGATCCCGAAGATGCTAACATAAGAGAGCGAAATACTGGTCTATTAGAAGGAATAAAGTCATCATTAAAAATGCTCCTAGCTCGTTGTGTAAGACATTTTAAAGATGCAGATATTGGAGGTCGAGATGCAGCTTCATGTGAAGAAATAAAATCATCACTATGAATACTCATAGCTCTTGTCACTGAATGTCTTGAAGGTGCAGAGATTAATGTATTATTAAAATCATCTGAAATAATAGCACTTGATCTAATATGAGATTGAGAAGATTCTGTTTCTGCAATGTCGCTATTATAATCTATATCCTCATCGTCATAATTTGTTTCAGTACTATCGTTGAAACTATTTAAAATATTATCAATAGTTTGATGATCAACAACTGAAGTAACTTTATCTTGCTTGTTTTTACGTGAAGTAACAGTTACATCATTCTTTTCGTAACTAGCAGTATTTGATTTTTTTGATTTTTTGCTTTTTGAGTTATCGGCACTATCTAAAGGATCATCGTAATTATTTAAAGATAAAGAAGTAGCCATTTCTTTCTTTTTGCGACCTCGTTTATTAGCAGTATTTGTATTTAATTTTTCGTTTGCATGTTTTTTAGAAGTTCTAGAACTCATTTATATTTGTGTGATAAAGAAAAAAAGTAAAGAATATTAATTGTAAGTTTATTATATTTATATAATAACGTACTATTTACTCTAAAATTGAATAATAAAGTATATATATACGTAACAAGTATCTTGATACTCTTGAATTCATTGTACCAGGTCTCTGATTGTGATCATGATGCATAAATTAACAAGTCCATATTAGTACATAAATTAAGCAATTACCATTTTAAGAATTTTAAGTTTTTTTAAAGAAGTTGGTTATTTAAGTAATTATTTTTCAATAAAAAATTGTTTTTTTTTGTCAAAAAACTACTGCATCTAAAATCAAAGGTTGGAACTCTAACTGATATTTGGCTAAAGAGAATAACTAAATAAATTGAAATATTAAAAGGAATAAACTATATAATTATGGCGTTAAAAAACATGTATATATACTTATTTAAAAATTTTTTTTTACAATAGATCTTAATTATATTCCGCAATCGTTATATTTCTTTTAACTATCGTCAAAATTACATAAGAAACCCATGTAAGAAATTAAAGATGCCATCACGTGCTAGATTAAATAAAAGAAGAAATATTGAAATAAATAGTAATGATTATATATATACCTTATTCAAGCAACATTATCTAACTAATTTATAGCCAGATGATATATATGCATGAGTATAATGCTCTTAATGATGCTTACAATGAAATAGAATGTGACAATAATAAATGGATAGATGATGTATTATTTGATGATATGACAAGTGAAGAATTTAATGAAGAAACTTCAAGTGAAGATTCTATTAACGATGAAGCTTCAAGTAAAGATAAAGCTTCAATTGAAGAATTAGATTAT